CTCAAAAATCCTTTCATAAAAAGAGCCGGCCTCAAGCAGTTGTCCCTTGGGCTCTGCGGTCACGCACCAACACTAATCCATCTTCCTTTTCAGGTCCCTCAAGAAACAACCTTCCACGGTGTGGGCAGCCGGGAAGTGACAACCGCCCTCATACCCGTAACAGCACACGAGACCTAATTGGTCAAAATCAAATCCTTCCTACACCCCCTAATGTCTCTCTTATCTCTACGACTAACTCTACTCACACTCCCTTTTCTCACTGCACCGCTAATGCAGACGAAGTGAAATCACGAAACGTCGTTCCTGGTCTCTTGAAACCCCGTTCTAGACTACATATTGGAGCTTTTAATGTACGGACATTGTGTCAAATAGGGCAACAGGCATCATTAGCTAGGACTTTAGAATCTCGTGCCATCGATGTATGCTGCGTCTCGGAAACGCGCATACAGGATCCTAGTAAAGTCATTAACCTGATTTCACCTTGTCAAAACGTAGAAGCAGCTCGATTTACTCTTCGTGTATCCGGTAGCCCTGATGCTGCTTCCAGGGGTCTTGCTGGGGTAGGCATAGCATTGAGTCCTAGGGCAGAATTATCTCTCCTAGACTGGATCCCAGTAGATAGTCGTTTGTGCGCTGTCCGACTAAACGGGACAGTAAGGACTCGTAAGGATAGGGACACTCGCCGTTGCCTCTTCGTCATATCTGCCTATGCCCCCACTGACTGCAGTGCAGACGAGGTTAAAGATGAGTTTTACAGAAAGCTTTCGGACCTCCTCCAAAAAGCTAAGCGCTCTGATATAGTAATAATGGCTGGTGACTTTAATGCTCAAGTAGGTAGACTAGGTGAAAAGGAAAGACATCTTGGTGGATGTTATGGTGTAGCGACTGAGAGAACAGACAATGGCGACCGTCTGTTGCAACTATGCTCAGATAACCGCCTATTCTTAGCGAACACCAACTTTAGGCATAAGGAAAAGCATCTGCTGACCTGGCGACCTCCAAAGTCGTCTCAACGTTGGACTCAACTAGATCACATCGCCATCAGTCACCGATGGAAGGGTTCGATAGAAGACTGTCGCTCGTTCTGGGGCACATGTTTGGATTCAGATCATGCTCTAGTGCGAGCTCGTATCTGTTTAAGGCTTACTGGGCGTAGAAAAGACACCGTAAGAAAGCCTCTCAGGGTTTTACTTAATGATAATCAAACGAAGAAAATATTTCAGGAGCAACTAGAAAGAGAGTTATGCAACGATGTAAGTGATTCCCATCCAGAAGCAGGTTGGTATGATATCAAAAAGGCTGTGGAAACAGCAGTGATATCTGCTAGTAAGGTAAACCATAAGGCTAGGATGAAGCCGTGGATATCAGTCGCATCCACCGAACTGATGGATGCTCGAAAACGCATCCCACCTGACTCTGAGCATGATAAAGAGCGTAGTCAGCTTAGGCGTAGACTTATAAAAAGTCTGCGTAACGACCGCGAACAGTGGTGGGTGGCGAAAGCAAAAGCGATGGAAAAGGCAGCGGCGATCGGCAACAGTAGACAACTTTTCCGCCTTATTAAAGAAACTGGTATTAAGAACCCGAATGTGAGTGAGACTATCTCGGAAAAGGATGGTCTTATTATCCATTCTCAATCCAGGAGACTGGATCGATGGGCAGAACACTTTAGGGATCAGTTCAACTGGCCTCGAGCCACTCTTCAGTTGCCCACGATCTCCAGTCATCCTGAATGGCAAATCGACCTAAGTCCCCCTAGTCTTGATGACGTTGAGAAAGCGTTAGGAAATCTGAAACGAGGACGAGCTGCAGGTCCTGATAGACTGACCCCTGAGATATTTAAGGATGGTGGTCCAGTTTTAGCAGCTAGGTTGACTGAGATCTTAGGTAGAATCTGGGAACTGGACGTAATCCCATCTGACTGGTCTCAATCCTTGATTGTCCCAATCTATAAGAAAGGACAAAAGTCTTCTTGTGACAATCACAGGGGAATAAGTCTAACTAATATAGTATCTAAAATACTGGCCTCAATAATACTTCGACGCTTAACGAAAGCTCGTGAAGAGCAGATTCGAGAAAACCAGTCTGGTTTTCGACCTGGACGTGGTTGTATAGACCACGTCTTCACACTCAGACAAGTCCTGGAACATAGACACACATTTAGGCGTCCTACAATAGTTGTTTTCCTAGACCTTAAGGCGGCATTTGACTCTGTGGATCGTAAGGTTCTGTGGCAGTGTCTGTCATTGAAAGGTGTACCAAAGAAGTACATTAACCTTATACAAGCTCTTTACTCGAACACCACTGGTCGAGTGAGGGCTTATGGCGAACTGTCAACGGAATTCTCTACATCAAGTGGTGTCCGTCAGGGATGTCCACTTTCTCCATTCTTGTTTAATTTTATCATAGACATGCTCCTAGACATAACATTATCCTCGTCTGAATTTTCAGGAGTAGACCTTTTACCAGGTGGCTCGCTTATTGACTTAGAATATGCCGATGACATTGTCCTACTTGGTGAAGACGCTGACAAAATGCAGAGTATTCTGACTACCCTAAGCAACAATGCAAGCATGTTCGGGTTGCGATTTTCCCCCTCGAAATGCAAAATGTTGCTTCAGGATTGGGTTGCATCGGCACCTGAACTAATGATAGGGAGTGAAGTAGTCGAACGTGTAGACCGCTTCACTTATCTTGGGAGTCTCATCAGTGCCGATGGCCTGGTGACTGACGAAATCTCAGCACGGATACAGAAGGCTCGATTGGCTTTTGCCAACCTGCGTCACTTATGGCGTAGGCGAGATATCCCTTTGCTGACTAAAGGACGAGTGTACTGCGCAGTAGTTCGCTCCGTCTTACTTTATGGCTGTGAAACATGGCCAGTGAGAGTAGAAGATATTCGTAGGTTACTGGTATTCGATCATAGGTGTCTTCGAAGCATTGCTCGTATATCGTGGGACACCCGAGTGAGCAACGCTGTTATTAGGAATCGGGTGCTAAGTAAGAATGGCAAATCAATAGATGAAGTATTGAAACTTCACCAGTTGAGGTGGTTGGGACATGTGTTGCGTATGCCCAACCACCGGCTGCCTCGTCGAGCCTTGTTTTGTAGTGTAGGAATAGGTTGGAAGAAAGTTAGAGGCGGCCAAACCAAAACATGGCAGAAATCCATGAAGTCGTTGACTAGTGGACTGAGCCATGTCGGTAATTGTCGACTACCTGGTTGGGGTCCGCGAGATGATAATAATCGATGGTTAGAGACCTTGAACGACACGGCTCAAAATCGTTCGCAATGGCGCCGGTGCATTTATTCTCTGTGTTCTCTCAAATGCTAATCTTTTGGATTCTTCAACACCTCTAGTTTCGACTCTCTAAACTTATCTCACTGAATCATACTTCTTGAATAATATCTTCTAATCCTAACCTCTCCGATTATTTCTAATTCCCTTACTACCTCTTATACTATTGGATTTGAATTGACGATTACTTCTCTGTGCTAATGTGGTATGGCAACATGAACTGATGTACTTATGTACAAAGTTCTACGTTGCATCTGACTGACTGACTGACTGACTGATGCATTATTTTAGGACGTTATTTTTGTGGTTCTCCCGAGATCGTTTCCATTATGTTTAAATAAACTCAATTTGTAAACCTCGATTTTCTGGATGCTCGTTGAATACACTTTCTACGCCATATATCAAAACTTCTTCCTCTACTAAGTGGGTCCTTAGGATGTTCGGATTAGAGTAGCCTATCATGTCACTGGATCATTTGTCTTCGCTCTCGTTTACCGGACTAAGGTGAACTCGTAAAAACATTCAAGCATATCAATTGACTTGAGTATAACATGGAGTATAAGCTATCGACCAGAATTCTCCAACAACCTACATCCTTCACTCTGTTTTCCAGTTGTATGATTTAGGCTGAATTGTAAAATTCCCTTATGCACTAAATATCTCATAACTAGAAGTTCGATTATTCTTCCGTTCATTTACTGAAAGTGTACTTGATATTGTGGAGTGTGATTTTCAGTTGATATTTCTTGTTAAGTTCTGAAATTTTTCAACTATAGTTTTGTATGTTTTTTTCTATCTGAGTCAGTTCTATTCATAGGTGATTGAGGATTCTCAGTCGACGGCCGGTTCTATCCAAATAGTAACAGGATTCATTAAAACACATAGTGAACACATTGTATATATGTTGAAATTGTGAATCAGTCGTTGTTAGACCATCATTAGAAATTTGAAAACACTGAAAGACGTATGTTTCGACCCCACTATGGGCTTCACTAGTAGTGCGCATGCAAAACTCCTGATACCCGCAAGAATCGAACCTAGGACCTTCATTCTTGAGCGCGAACGCTTAACCTCTTGACCAATGAGCCGGCATCCAACGGTAGTAATCTCTAACTCTGATCAACCTAAGGACTACACAACACCTCACTCATTTGTCTTCTGTGGTTACTGCCTACACCGGTCACGGCTTTTCACTAGAACTCCAAGAATTCCCTCACGAAATTAATCACTACTGAGGACATTTTATGGCTTTTTTTTGCATCATGGTATTATAAATCTCGTTGTTTTACTTTGAAATTATGAATTTCTGAGTAAATCACATCTTTTTATTTCTCTAAGCACAGCTGTCACAGTTAATAATTAATTCAACCTCCCACTGTTGACTGATTCGATTACAATAATCCTATCAATAAGGAATATAACCTAATATTTGGACTAACTATACTTAGGCTAAATATAGTCGAAAACAACAATTTATGCTTAGTCCTGTTATAGACGATGGTAGTTAAATCACTAATGTATTGAATGCAATCTATTTAATGGAAACTTATGTTATTTCAATTGTTTTTTTTTCTTTCCCAAGTTCAATGTCCAGTTTTCAGTTGCGGGAAAATATTATTCGAACTTAATGTTAGTAATTATGTTACTTGATATGATATATGTATGTATGTGTGTGTGTATGTGTCGATAGGCTTCCTTTAAATGGTCATTTGTAGGTTGAATTCAGTGGGTGCAAACATTTCCATTCCTACTACTACTACTACAACTACTACTACTACTACTACTACTACTACTACTACTACTACTACTACTACTACTACTACTACTACTACTACTACTACTACTACTACTACTACTACTACTACTACTACTACTACTACTACTACTACTACTACTACTACTACTACTACTACTACTACTACTACTACTACTACTACTACCACTACTACTACTACTACTACTACTACTACTAGAGGTGTTGGGGGTATAGCTCAGTGGTAGTGCATTCGCTTGCCCCACCTGTGTTCTCCTTCACTACATTTGGTGTCGCTGCCTACACAAAGGATGAAGATTCCATGACCGAAGGAGTTTGAGGACGGAGATATGCGGAGCTTCCTGAAGGAGTTTGAGGCCGTGGCGAAGTTGGTGGTGCTGGGGACGCTGCTGAGAGAAAGGGCGAATGCCGTATACGACAGCTTGGACGGTGCTGGCGGGAAGTCGCCATGGGAGACGGTCATTGAGCGGCTGATGGCCGAGTTCGACAGCCCGGTGGACAGGGAGGAGGCGTTGCGGAAGTTCCGGTTGGCGAGGCTGTCGGCTGATGATGACCCGCTGGTGCTTGCTGTGGAGCCCACAAGGTTGCTGCGCCGTGCGTTGCCGAATATCGATGAGGATTCAGAGGCACAGTTGTTGGCGTCGCAATTTATTGAGTGTGCCTGCCGCCTTGTCCCAGCAGCTGAGATTAGTAAATGCAGCAAAACCTATGGACATCGGTGAACTGGTGAAGGTGACTCGTCAGCTGATGACACAAACAGTAGCTCCGGTCGGGTGCGAAAAGCAGGAGGTAATTATTTTCGAGAAGAAGATTGAGGAGTTAGAGCGTGAGATAGCAGCATTACGAGTAAAGCATAAAAGGAACGATAAATGTTACGCTTGTGGAGAGGCAGGACATTGGAAGATAAACTGTCCAAGAAGACGACGACGAAGATATTTTCAACATTATAACGGGTTTTCTTTCCACCCAAGGAATCGGGAGGTTCTTGCACTAGTAGATAGAGGGGCAATTTATGCCAGAGTGTACATAAATGAACAGGAGTTAGTGTGTTTGATCGATACAGGGGCAGCTATATCGTTAATAAGCAAAGAGCAATGTAAGACAATTAAACCATGTACATTAGCTGTCCACACCATAGGAGGGCATATGCTAGAGGTGTTGGGTGTATAGTTCAGTGGTAGAGCATTCGGTTGCCCCACCTGTGTTCTCCTTCACTACACTACTACTACTTCTACTACTACTATGATTTTGATCAACAAAATAACATGAAATCAATTTTATTTCATTGGGTTTTCCTGATCTACATATAACCCTATTATGATTTAAGTATCAAAGTGGTAAGATGAATTATCAGTACTTGCATAAGTGAATATATTTGGGAACATTGTTGTGATTTAACATTGATATTATATGTGAGATAACATTTCACAACATTAGTATACAACAGAATACAACTGACCGACTACTGGATAGAGACCAATGTCATGTGCGACAATTCCTCTTTAGTGCTGACTGAATTCTATCGGTCAGGTGGCGGCGTTATGGCCACTCATCTAGATGGTCCAATATTTCTGTTACGCATGAACGTAAACATGTCATTTGAGGTGATTGAACTATTACGAGTTTACCTTAGTCGGAAAACGAGAGCGAGGATCAGGCGACAAGACATGCGACTCTAATCCGATTGTCCCAAACAACCCCACATTGAGTAAAAGAACAAGATTTGATATGAAGTAGAACATGTATTCTACAAGCACCCAGAAAGTAAGAGGTCCGAACTCAGAAGAGAATCAGCTTCCTGGACTAGGGATGCGAATTATAAAACGTTACAGTTAGTGCATATTTATTCAGTTAGTTCGAATAGGAAACAACATTGAAGTCTGTGACATTGACAGTCAGGACGACATATAAGAAACAACATTGGAGTACTTCACATTTATATTTAAGACGACCATAAAATTGACGAATAAGAACTAAACAATAGGAATTGACCAATAATTCTCTCAGGATATTGGATGAATATCCTAACAAATTCGTGCACTATACTGTAAAGTAATGTGAAGTGATAGTTGATGGTAATCGACAGAAAACTCTGGACCATTCGGCAGTCGTCATTAAGATTAATCTTGAGGGAAGAGTGACCTGTTGTAGACTTTCAGTGATCCTTAGGTTAGGTGGTCAAGCACAAGACCGTAGGGTCTGGGTTCGATTTCTGAGAGGTGCCGGAGTCATGGATGAGCACTGCTGATGAGTTCCATATCAAGACGAAACGGTACTATTTCAGTGCTTCCAGGTTTCCTGTGTTGTTCTAACATTGATCTTTTCATGATTTCAATAAATAACTCAACAATCTTCACAACTCCATGATACATTCTCTAAATGGGAAAACTAACTTGGATTGGATTCTTGTAATGATTGACATTATTTTGAAATGGTATTTCTGATAGGGAATTTGTGTATTGAATAAATGAAATGTTGATTCACATTTGTTATTTGTGTAATATGTGTACATTTATGTCGAGCCCATAGGGCTTCGTCAAAACCATTGGACAATTTATTCAAACCATTCTACTCGAGTTAATAAATCACCCGTCTTCCGACTTTGTCGACTATTCACTTTTATCTTGGTTGAGATTCTATTCTAGTATATGTGTATGCACTGGTTACTTCGCTTATTACACATGTCTAGCTTATTTTGTCTGTCTATAAATAAATGCTGGGTTATACTTTATTGCATGGAGTTGGCTCATTCACCTTCTCCACTTTCCCTTTGCTTTTATACGCTTTTCATTCTCATATCTGTCTAAATGAACTCATCCAACTGTCATCTTAGTACTGCCGTCGAACAAACGAGATCCACTGCAGTATGATGATATAGGGAAATTGAAGGGAAGATTTATTTTATAGCATATTTGAACTTCATAAATAAAGGAGTCAGTTCCATAGGTCATTAAATTAGTAAGCCCTAACTTCAAGTTCAACGCAGCCACTAAAAGATAATTTATTTCAATTGGTTGTTTGTTAAGAATGTAATTGATCTGCAACATTTGACATCTGTGCACATCGGATAGGCATCGCCTCAATATCGCAACAGGTCGCATATGTACCAAAAATAACCGATCGATTACAGTCGTGGGAAAATTCAAATGACCAATATAAATGAAGTAAACTTCACTTCACTTAACAAGCCAGTGAGTGGATAATTGGACTCAATAGTTAAGTGGATTTCGCGATGGTGTTTGCAGTAGACGACAATGGGTTCGAGTTTCGGAGTACACATTAACTCTACCATACAGCGTGTACATCCAGCTAAATCGTAAAATGTGCTTACTAGTGACTATCTTCATGAGGAAGATAGAAGACGTAATCAGTGGAGTTCAACCCTGTCGGATGGATGTAGGCAGTAACTACCAAAAATAAATGAGCGAGGTTAGGCGTTCGCACGAAAGACCAAGTGTTCCGGGTTCGAATCCTGTGAGTGCAGGAGTCGCGGACGCGCCCTACCACTGATGAGTCCCATACTAGGACGAAATGGCCGTCTATCAGTGCTTCCAGGTCTCTAATCGCTTGGCCTAACAATGATCTAATGATGATTTCAAATGTGTGAAAAACTATTATAATTTAACTATTATTCAGTACATGCTTCTTTCTTAAGTATTGTGCTCCTTGGTTGTTCATCTGTTTCTTAGTTTTATGTTCAGGTCTAGCAAGTTAAAAATAGCAGTTCATTGCTAATTTGTTACTAATATGTGCTTTCTAAAACTGATAAGATAAATTATGAAGCATGATTTATATTATTACAATGCATTGTTAACGTAGAATGTTACATATTTTCATATTTGAATTTCATCTTCTCAAGGTCAACCATTAAGATATCATTGAACAGGAACACTAAATATGTTTATTAATTTAAGAAATGAAGTTTATGAAGACTGTTTAATTTGATGTGAGTTACTGTCAAGAACTGTCATCAAGTTTAGAAATTACTGAAAATGCCTTGGTACTGCCGAGAGTTCGGGGAGAGCATGCTCTCTCTCTCTCGAAATACCCTCAAATAGCCAAGAGAATATATCCGCTCAAATGGAATTCCTATCTATTGCCTTCTCGTAGCAGAAGTGTTGATTGTTAAATCGAAAGGATGAAAAGCGATTGTCCGAAAGAGGTTTAAACCGGATTAATAAGTATGAAGGATCCACTTAAGGGAGTTGGAAAGCCTCTATTACAAACCAATAAATCAAATGGGCCATAGGATGTAGGATCCAAACTGAGATTTGGACAGAGTAATAACTGTCCAGGTAGTTTAAATACGCGTCTTGATCAGTTGGGTAAATAACGTTTCTAATATTCATGATAAATATAAATTTACATCATTACCTAAACAAATATTACCACTCAGCTATTCCACCAACAATTGTTCAATTATTCAAATCAACAGGAACAAATAAATGTTATTCTATCCCTCCTGGATAGATTAGATTCGTTCGACAGATAATATTTGGTTGTTTTATAACACAGAGTGTTTCCAATTCTGTATGAGTGCTTCAATACACAATCAAAATGCACAATTCCAGTCCATGCAAGCAATCCAATCAAAATAGGAACAAATCAAAATGGCTGTCACCATGACTAATTATCAGCTTAAACAACATAAAGGCGGTTCAGAAAAAAATCATAGAAACTCAGTGAAGGCAGAAGAAATAGAAACTATAATGAAATACAAATATTATCATCTCCGAAATGGTATCGAACAGATTAACAAAATGTACAACTGAAGGAATCAATAAGGACAAATTAAAAAAGTATACATTGGAGGAATTTTCACAAACAAAGACTTCAAAAAATGGATCTTACATAGGGTCCTGAGGTAACACACAGAGCATGAACCTATTGCTGGTCATTAGCTATCAGGCAACTGCATCTCCATCACCTTGTGGATTAAGCCTCAAAGTCAAACACTAGGGGATTAATCTCCTAATAAAACCAACTGCTTCGGTTCGGTCAGCTAGTTAAAATCCAGTCCACTCACAAATTCAATGGTTTGTATGGTAATGTGCATTATGGGATAGTGAAGATTGTTAAGTTTTTTTGAAACCATGAATCGATCAATGTTAGACCACCATTAGAAGAAACCTGGAAGCACTGGAAGGAAGCACTTAACAATCTTCACAACCCCATAATGTACATTACCTGTGCTTACTAGTGACTAGCTTCGTGAGGAATCTTCTAC